GCGGTTCAGTGCTGTTGGGAGGACCACTCGATAGTTAGGACTGCACTGCCCCGTTAAAAGCTGGAGGGTTAGAGCGGAGCTTCGAGTTTAATCTCCTCTCACAGGGAGTGCGGTTTGCATGTACCAAAACGCCCCAAGAATGGAGCCATCGTGCAATAAGTGGGGACGCCTGGGGGAGCGCTTTAAAACTGTGCTCCTCCTCTGAGCCCAAGGGCTAATACAGACATAGCCTTTGTTGATCTTGATGGACTTTTGCTCTGGTCTTTACTGTGATAGCGTTTGGCACGACAGCATTCGGTGTTATTGGCTGAACGCAACTGTTACTGTTTGCTTTTGCCCTTTCAGGTTTCACTAGCTTAAGTCCGCTGACTTAAATCCCTTCTTCTTCGCTTTTTTTCTTTCCTCACATGAAGGTTTTGGGTTGTTTTGTAACTTTTTTTTTCAATATTGTCCCTGTCAATATGCCTCAGTTTCATCTGAAATAAAGGATACACGAAGCTTTTCAGCCTGAGTTTTGTTTCTCTATGTTTTTATCTTTGTTTAATTTGCTGACTGGCAGTTGGAAAATCACTTAATCAGCACATCTGGCCCCAAATACTAGGCTTGACTTGAAAATACTGACAGTGTCTTGGCTCATGCACAACTGAGACTTGTTTGAATTCTTCTTCTGTGATTTGTATAGGTAGTGGTGATGGAAGAAGAAAATAATAGAGAGAAGATCTGTATTGTTCCTTTCCCAGCTGCGCCATAATAGTCGAAACCCAAACGCACGTGTTGATCTCTCTGTAACTTCATGTAACTTTAGAGAGTCATTTTTGCTTTACACAACCCTCTGTGGGTTTCTCTACTTCTGCTACCCAAGTTTGCAGGCCTGTGTTTGAGTCTCTCTATTCTGCTGCCCGCTCTGAAGCACCAATGCGTTATATTTATTTCCGTGACCTAGGAGCTGCTGAGAGTGATGTCGCCACGTTGGTTATTTTGTCTGTCCAATACAGAAAGCATCTTTTCCCACCCTGAATCCCGGGAGTCCGTGTGAACCAATCAGTCTGAGAAGTCATGTCATGACAACACCCAAAATTAACTTACTGCCTTATTTTTTTTTTTTCCTTTTTTGCAGGTATTCCACCTCTGCATTCTCTAGACTAGCCAAAGTAGGGATCCGACATCCTCCACCTCTTCCTTTCATTGGGAATCTGCTCTTTTTTCAAGAGGTAAGAAATATTTTTGTTTGTACCTATCCAAAATGATGATAAGAGTGAATAGGAGGTAGGAGGAATTGAAGAGCATCCTACACTTCAGTGGTACCATCTCATTAAGTATCTGCCTGTGGAAAGAACAAGCAAAACTCAGCTTTTTGAGTGAATTCATAGAAATAATTTTGTACAAGAAGCACTAATTTCGGGATGAAATCAACTTGAGGGAAAGAAAATATGTAAGCTTCTGCAGTTAATTACTTGAGCTTTTCCAGGAAAGTTCATGCCCTTGTTGAAACAAACTTAGTTATGTGAATAGAGCTGATTATGTTAACTAGCCCCAACTGGTTTGTCCTGAGTGGTTTTGGCTCATAGTACCTTTTTGTTTGTATTTTTGCTGATTATACACATTTATTATATAAGCCTGTAAAGTTGCTTGCTCCTACCCAGTAACTGGAATTAGATACTGCTGAACACTATTGCTCTGTGCCACAAGTGTTACTGTCTTAGCCTGGGGGGAGGGGGAGAGGGGCAGTATTGGGCATCCTGCATGAGATTTCTTTCCCTTACCCTTCGCCCCCTCTCCCTGTCATCAAGTCTATTAATGCATTTCTTTTCCTGTTAATTACTTGGTTTCAATAATGTTTCTGTGTGTCGAAGCTCTGTTAATAATGAGGACCTGCCAGTTTTCTGGTTGGACTCTTAAAGTAAAATAGAAATTCCCTCTTTCAAGTGCATGGTCATCAATATCCATGTTGAGATTTAAATTATTAATGAGAATATAGTGCCTCTTACCTTTGTCTTCATGGTGATTGTTCTGTCAACATCTGACTCATTATTTGATAAAAACCCATTTAAATACCATTTTTACGTGTGCATCTGACTTACAGCATACAAAGTAAACTTGATTCGCTGTTGACCCATTTAAACTGGAAATGGAGGATGACTTTAACAGGCACGCGCGCACACACACAGAGGATGCTAGTTATGTGGAGTACAGACCTGTTCACTCTCACTGTTCTGGTTTAAATTCAGCTGGATGCCATAAAGTTACTCATTCGGTGGCTCTTTGACAAAATCCCATTATACTTAGTCCCCTGCTAACACTTGCTATATGAAAAGCTGACTGGAGACTAAAGTTATTCTAATACATTGTAGATAGACTTACCCTGTACTAATATGTGAGGGGAAAGTTTCTGCAAGCCATTTTCTGTGATCTGTTAATGAAATCTCATTACCAAAGTTATGTTCATCAAAGAAAATCAGTTTAATTAAATTCACTTTAAGCAGGCTAACAAAGAAAGGATAGACTTAAATTTTACTAAATTTTAGTAAAAATAATTTAAACGTAGATGTGAAGTTATATCTTGGAGTAGAAGATATGAGAATTCCTGATAAGATTTTTAAACAGGGTCTAGTGATTTAAAAACAAGAGCTCCATCAGGTTGTATCTCCAGCGCTGCAGTATTTGTCCGTCCATCGTCTCTCTTGTTCTACCACTGTCCGTGGGAACAGGCAGGAATGAGTCCAGGCTCTTCGTAATTCTTCTTTCTCTCCTTACACGTTTTGCCCTGTTTTCGAGATCTGCTCCTGTGGTTGCTTTCTTAGAAATAGTGCCCATAGCAACGCACTGGTAATCGGAGGGCTGCTTTTACATTGCAGGCTATTCTCTGGTAGCGCATTTTCACGTACACAGGTGCTCTCGCTGCAGTCAGTAGAGGACAGCTTCCCCCTCCCCAGGAGGGGACAGCCAAAGGTTGCATGTCACTGCGTAGGGACTGGGATGGGTTTTATGCATCTCGCTGCAAGTGACACAGCTGTGTGTGAGCCACAGCTCATTGGGGGCTGGGGTTAGTTTTTGTAAGTAGTAGTAAAACGCTGGTACCTTCTGTCCCTACATCCAGAATGTTAAAAAGTTCTTGTGCTTGCATGTGTATGCAACCATATCTTTTCACTGAATTGGCTTTTTAAAGAGCTTTTCTTTTTAAATAGGCTGGATCCTCCTTTGCCTAGGCAGTGTCGCCAATGTTATGCATGGGAAATGCATGAACCAGGCTCTCACTAAATCATCAGACTAGTGGTTTGCAACCTATGAATCCATTTATTTCAGAGGAGTTCATGAATGGTGGCTAAGAAGAATAAAGTCATCTGTGCTGTAAAGCAATCTGCATATGTGTAATTTGTATGTGTAATTTTCCAGGGTTGCATTTGGTCTATAAATCAGCACAAGTTGAAAACTCCTGCACTAGAATAAGACTGATAAGAGGATAATAATAAGATGATAATTCAGCATGCCTTCCAGTCCAGGAGGTGTCCTCAACTCGTGTTTTTAAGCCTTCCTCCTAAGTATGAATTCCAGAAAAATAGGGGGAAAATGGAGGAAGAAGAGAGTCCCTTTGACATAAATAAATCCAGGACCTGGGGATTTAAGAGAAAACACTGGAGCTCTGGATTAAATTGTAGGAGTAAGCAGTATTTTAAACTCTTAATGGCATAAATACAAGGATTTGATTGCCTTCTCCCTTACTTATGTGGGAGTAAATCAGTTCTAGGGAAGTTAATGAAGGTGCCAGTTTTACTCCACCCTATATGTGAATGGAATAACAGGCCTTATCTTCCTTTTTGCCTTTATTATTATTATTCTGTAAGTGTTGCTGCAAGTGAATGAAGAATGCAAGCAGGAAAAAGCTGGGGTGTGTGCCCCTGTTTTTTTTTTTTTTTTAATAAACTTTCAAATGGATTTTAAATGAGAAAATTCATGTTTTCTTCATGAGATTTTTTTGAAAGAAAAGGTATTGGTATTCATAAAGTGAATGTAGTGACTGAAAAATTCTTGAAACAAGAGTTGCTGTAATGCAACTTGAAGGAGGAGGTGGTGGAAGTTATGGGGGTAAGGGAAACGAAAGGCAAAAGGAAAGCCCTATCGCCGTCACGGAGAAATAGACTTTAAGAGCTGACATGGGGAAAACAAAATTGTTTTAGTCTAAGTTGCCCCCCCCCTCTCTCAAGAAAATAAAGGCAGATAATCGCACCCTGAAACTAAAACCTATCCTTGTTAATCAGCTTATCTTCAAAATGAGAAGATACCAAATTATTGCAGTTCTGCAGCTGGGAAATTATCCGATTCCACGATATTAGATTAAAAATCCTGCCATTGCATGAGAACAATTTGTGGTGGGTACGTCTGCAAGAGTAAACATGATTATGCTGTTTTTAAAAAAATAAAAAAAAAGGGAAGAAAAAGCAGCGGGTTCAGTTTTCCCAGTAACTGAGCAGACTCGCAACAGACAGACGACCCTTTTGCTAGAAGCTCCTGCCTGTCCCCGCCGCCGCTCCGCGCGCTGCATTTTTCCTACCACTATCTGTGGAAAAACGTTGGGTTTGTGTGTGCTGGCAGCGTGACGGGATGCGCGAGGGTTTGGGCAGCGTGGACTTTCACGCGCGTGGCCGCCGCGGGCTTCAGAGCTACAGGTTGTTGGAGGAGGGGGGAAAAAAAAAAACCCAACTAAACCAAACTCTGCCGTTAGTTCACGGGCTGATGATTTGGTTATGGGAGGAAGGCACTGAAAGCGGAGAGCGCCCGCGCTGCCCTTCCTCCCGGGGAGCCCCGGCGGGGCGGGATGCGTTTGGGGCCCTTATATTGGCCCGGTCATGTGTTGCTTTCCTCCTATGACTCGTAGGGAGCTCCAGCGATGCTTTTGACAGGCTGCGCGCTTGCGTCGCTGCCTCGCCTTTTAATGAA